CTTCTCCTGCGTGGTCAAAGGTCCAGCGATACGCGAGGGAAAAGATAAGACGACGACTAAACTGCTGTTGTGCCACCTTAAAACTTCGGGACCTGGGCATACCTACCTACATATAGATACATAGGCTTGTTATTAGGCGCTGGCGTGACGGTGTTAGGTACCCGGTTCAAATCTTGGGCACCTGCATTGAGACATGCTCATCACAAGATCAGTTTTGTTGTTTCGGGGCTGAGTATTGACAGGATTAGGCATCCGTCTACTATTGGGCATATCATATCTAACGTTTTGATGTCCCACACCTCGAGTGGATCGCAGTGGCGATCCGGGGTTAGTCCCAACCCTGTGCTCCGTACAAGTTACATGTACTTTTAGGCGAGGTCTCGAAGGAGTAGCATGTTGATTGGTTTTTAATTACGCACTTATAAATGTTCCAGGATATTTTGAGAAGATTCAGTAATATATCCTGGACCCCTTGAACATATACGTGATATCCTACATGAGGTCAATTACCCGTGGATTCCCATATCTGGATTGACAAATTGACTTTTCGTTTCCATGGACACGAAATGGCTCGACCTCCGGCTGGCAGGGCTTTCTCATCCGATGTGGATCCTGGTACACTCTCGAGCGGGGTGATAACTTCTTTGTTCCCGAAATTGCTGGGATGTGAGGCGTCAACCAAGGAAAGTCGGAGAAGCACCTTACCTAAAACCCCTCTCCAGACGCACGGACAAGGCTGCGACCTGGGCCGAGAACGATATCAGGAAATCTCATCGTCATTGGGGTCGGCCCCATTGAATGATTGGCCACATAAAATGTCAGTTGTCGGTGGTCACCCTTTTCAGGACAAGTAGGGTTTTAGTGGCAGGTATACGCGAGAGAAAAGTGGTCAGAATCCCTGTCCCTGAGAAGGGGGAAATGCGATTCAGAATCTCTAAGGCTGTATCTGATGTAATGACCTGCGGCAGTGGAGCTTGTGGATACGGGTGGAATTAATGGGGGGAGAGCATCTGGGGATGATGACGATGATGATAAGTGATGATGATGAGATCCACCTGGGCAGTAAAATGCATACACGTAATGTTACAAATGTATAAACAATAGAATTCACTTAGGTACATCCTGTACAATGTACATGTACACTCGCCGTCAGATCTCGTCCCACGTTATCTTCCCCCCTCCTTCAATTGCTCTCCAGTTCACTTCTCTTTTCTCTCCTTGTCCTTCTACTTGATGCGTCTCTTCTTGCATTATCTTAAGTCTCTCCCTGTCGCCTAACTTGGCTTTATCTTTCCATTCCTCACCCCTTGCCTTATCTCTGCTGGTATTGTATGATCCCCTCCCCCTGAACTCGGATCCTTCTTATTTACTTTCTATATTTTGCAACCGTTCAAGTCCATTACACTGGCCACACTTGCGACGCGCTCAAGGAAATTCGGCTAACAACTATCGCATAGCTGTGCTTGCAATCGCTCGCGAGTCAGATCTCCATTGCTTTGGTTACTCTTCGCCACATCTCGACTGCAAAGGATGTAACCGTCTTTTGATTCAACTCTCAAAAGTGTAGCCATTGCAAGTGATATTGTCTATTCAACACAAGATTACACCTACTGCTCAACCACGCGTTTTTCTCAGTCGTCATGGCCACTGTGCTAGTTCAGCAGCAGGCGCTGCATCACTCGACCCCTCCCCCCTCTCCTATACCCCCAGCCTTGACCGTAAACCGACGATCAAGTCCTATCCCGAACAGACATATTCCAGTATGCCCCACAGGCCCTATTCCAACATCTCAGCCTACGTCCGTGTCCCGGCCTAGCGACCAGCCTTCCTCGTTACTGTCTCCTCCAGATGAGAAAATGCGCATTGGACGACCGTCATCTCCCGCTGTGTATGCCATCGACGGGGCCAAATTAGCAGCGGCGATAGCCCATCAGGCTTCACAGCCTTTACCTGATGCATCTTTGATGTTTCCTTGGCTACATGGGCTGCATCGAGATAATCATTTGCAGCTGGGATTCTTTACAAGTCGCAAACGACATGCACGTCACACCCCAAAGTGCTGGCGAGGCCTCACCGTGGTAAAGCTTGGAGGTGACTTGAGCACGTCACGCATCAAGGGCGCAGTAAGCGCCCATGAGGTGCTGGCACCTTCATCCCATTTTTTGATGGCTGACCCTCCCGAGGGATTCTCCGTCCGCAATTTCCAAATACAAACTGCCAAGCTGGCTGCTATGTCGGATATTGTTATTTATGCTGAAGATGATGATAGTCATAGCGGACTTGTTGAGTTAGCCAACCAGTTTGCCAAGGCGCAGCGGTTATGGCGAACGAAAATGGATCCCCTGGAGGAGCGACCGACGTACAACACCTTCATTCTTGCCGGTTCGTTACTCTACCTTATTTCCCGCATTCATGGACCGTCAATTGATATACTTCCCCAGACAAATTTGCCAATGTTGCCGACACACATCCAGAGATCATCGCCATCGATGCGAAAGGTCAACCGACAGGCCAAACTATGGATTTCGGTAACTTCAAAGGAGCCTTGGCGCGCGTAGAGTTTATGCTAACAAATTGGTAGTCCAATGGGAGCGACTGGAAATGTCTACTATGTCCCGGGCATCCGAGATTTCGCCCAATGTTTGGCTCGGGTCTACCCCGGACTCCTTCCATATTGAAGCTCTTGGGTCACCAGAGGAAGAGGGCTATGACCTATTGATCGAAGCATCCGACATGGCCAACATCCCCGGTCCGCGCTTCCTCGCCATGCTCGACAAGCAGATAGAAAGTGGTCCCCAGCGCTTGGAGTTTCCCTCGTCGGGATCTCTTGTGCTTCCATCGGGGAACACCCGGGAGGTTGAGGATATTGTCAACACCATCAGGTGGATCTACTATCTCGCTCACCCGGAAACTTCCTCGGAAGAGCTCGAAACTGATGGAGGCGTCGTAATGACCAAATCGAGCGGGAAACCCCGCAAGATTCTCATCCACTGTGGGGACGGTTATACCGAAAGCTCGCTGTTGGGAGTGGCGTACTTTATGTTTGCAGAGGGTGTGCCTGCCCATGAAGCTTGGCTTCGACTGCATTGCGATAAGAAACGCAACTTCTTTGCCTATGCGACGGATGTTGCTTTCCTATGCCACATTCAAGGACGTCTCTTGCAGGAAAGCCCCGCAACTCAGTCCACGGATCTCTCGGAAATCGGGGATCCGCATTGGTTTCACAACATGGATGGGTCCTTCCCCAGTCGCATCCTGCCGTATCTTTATCTGGGTAATTTGAATCACGCGAACAACCCGGAGCTTCTGTGGGAACTTGGGATCAAGCGTGTGCTTAGTATTGGCGAGCCTGTCAATTGGACAGATGCGGATCGCGCCAACTGGGGATCTGATAATTTGATGTACATTGACAATGTCCAAGACAATGGCATTGACCCTTTGTGTCAGGAGTTTGATCGTTGTTTGGACTTCATTGGTAAGTCCTCCTAATTCGTTACTTCATTGCAGTTTCAATATGCTGACTTCTATGCAGAACAAGGAAAGCGCCAGGGCACGGCCACATTGGTTCATTGTCGAGTCGGTGTTTCTCGATCCGCAAGTATTTGCATCGCTGAAGTCATGGCGTCTAAAAATCTCTCTTTCCCGCGTGCATAGTAAGTTAATTTTTAATGAAGTCGTTTAGCTGGGCTGATGATGCTAATTCATGATAGCTGCTTTGTCCGTGCAAGGCGGCTCAACGTCATCATCCAACCTCATCTTCGCTTTGTGTAAGTCCATGTGTTCTTCTACCCTCACATATGACAAGGGAAATCTGCTCACACTTACCCGCAGCTATGAACTCCTTCAATGGGAGGAGCATCAAATGAAAAAGCGAGGCCAGCCTATCAAGCGAGAGCTTGAATGGGAGACTGTTGCGCGTGAGATAGCTCTGCTCAACAAGCCCTATTCAAGGCACTAAGAGTAGCCTCGGCTCCGAGGCCCACCTCCCATCCACACGATCAGGATTACAACGACGGGTCGCTGGATACCACGAAATGGCCATTCCTGCTGCAAGCGCAAACGCTACAAGCACTTCACATCACTTCTCTACCGACTTCCCGAGGGCCAACACTCGGCCCGGACACCAAACCTATTTTCTTCTTAATGCGTGTTTTTGTCACCTTCACCTCATCCATGCGAGATGTTACACTACGATACAATGACCTTGCACGATTTCTACGAACAAGAGACGACTTCTTGATTGATCTTTGGCGCTCGGCGTTGGAAGACCTCAGGGCATGGGGGATATTGTACCCACCATCCACGATGCAATGACTTTCTGCTGTCTCTGTTCGACCCGATATTTTGTTTCTTCTTAGCCAGCCCATCTTGTTGATTTTACCTCTTGATTTCGCCCTCTTCTGTCTTTCTGTTTCCAATTTTCGATTTTTAGTTCTTGTTCTTTTTGTTTCTGTTCCATTCAGCAATACATGGATTTGCATGTTATTTCTGCCCATACCATTTACCAGCATTTTCTCATGATACTCCCCGCCCTGTTCAGGGATTATGTCTTCATGTCGCGCTGCAAGTTTGAACTGGAGCTTTCGAGAAGATACTTATCGTTTCTCAACGTGCATATCCATTTGAATTGTTATCCCTTCGCGGTCTTGTTTTCATCTTTCTGTTGCGTCTCTTTTCTCTTCTCTCAATCCCTTCCCATGGGGCTTTGGGTTATGTGTTATCTAGGGTTGGGGTTGTCACAAGTTCGGCGATCACAGGCGTCTCTGCTGATCATTTTAATGTTATTCTCTCGCCCCGAGCTTCGCAAATGTTCGATTCGTTCCAAGATCCCTTGTAAGATTTACGTGAATATTAAGCCAAATGTGTGAACGGTATACGACCTCCAAATCGAACCATCGATGCGTGCCCTCAAATCCCCCTTGAAGGCAGACAGATATTCATTCGTCATTCATAAATATAAATTGGTATAATACCACTGTATGATCTTCAATGGCCTCTACTCAACAGCGCTCAAACACCCGATACAGCCCCTTCAGATCTGCAACCTCAACCACACCCCGCAGTAGTCGTGACGTGGCAACCAGCCGTGCACGCAGAGCCGGGAAAACAGCATGCTCCAACATGCGAACCATCTGCACCCGACGTGCCCTAACAAAAGTATCTTCGTACTCGAGCTCAGAGCCATCGGCTACCACATGCCCCCGCGTAGCCGACTCCCCCAAAGCGTCCTGAGCAACAGTCTGCGAAAGAACCGGAAGCTGCTCAGGCGTGTAAAAAGCAGCCAGCTCACGCAAAAACGTACGGAAGCAACCCTCCTCGCTACCCCAGTCCACATATGGTCCAAGCCTCAGCAGGAAACGAGGCAGTTTCCCCAGCGCGGGCAGATACCCCTTCAACAACAGCGGGATGGTCAACAAGTCTCCGTCGGGACTGATCTGCATCGAAAAGTACTCATTCAGCATCTCGCGACGGTCGATGAGCGTGCGCGCTATCATCTCCGGTGCATTAGCGAAGATGGAATCGGCCTCTTCCCCGTTGGAGTCGGGGTGCTCTTGCCGTTCCGATTCCGCTGCGATTTTCAGTAGATCTACCAACTTCGGCGCTGGGTCTAGTCGGATTACACCGAAGTTCCCGAAGTCGGTTAGGCCCACTTGGTAGAAGAATTCGTGGCACGCGAGCCCGTAGTCGATTAGGTACAATTTCACGCCTGATTGGATGGCTGCGAGCCGCCGTCGCTCGTCGACTAGCCCGACGTATGTGTGTGATGCGAACATCTCTGTTAGTGTGTTGTGCATTTCGGAGCGGACGGAGGCTCGGAGACTCTTGACGGATGTGAGGGCGATCTTTAGGGGTTGGCGATCTGTGGTTTCGTATTGGAGGCCATTTTCTGGGATCGGGATCGTTGGGGCGTCGGTTTCTGTGGGTGCGCCTGGGTTGGATGGATCGCGAGGTGAGGCTGCGGCTGGGCCTAGCATTGCTGTGATTTTGCGGACTTTGGAATCTGTGCGGATGAGGTTGTTTTCATAGGGCTTTTTCGTCGTCGCGGGTGTTTTGGGTGTCGCTCCGGCTTTTGTTGCCTCTCCTGTTCCCTCGTGGGCCGGAGCGCCTTGATCGCGTTGTACGGACTCGATCGTCTGCACGCCAGGTAGGAGACTTTGTGTTAGGAATGTGCGACTCGAATCCACTTCAGCCAGCTTGGATCGGATTTCCGTGCAAACGAGCTCGATGATCTCGTCTTCGTTTAGGAAATTCACTTCACGCTTTGTCGGGTGCACGTTGACGTCGACACGGTTAGGCTCGATCTCGAGATCAAGATAGACGAGAGGGTGGCCGCCCTTGGGCAAAAAGGCAGAGTAAGTCTGTTCAATTGCACGCTTAACAGCAGTCGACTCCACTGCGCGGTGATTGATGAAAAGTAGAATCACCGTCTTCTTGACATGATAGTTGGCGTTTGTAGCGAGGCCAGACGCGCGAAATCCGAACTTTGTGTCCTCGGTTTTGAACTCAACAAGCTCGTTCGCCACAGCACTGCCGTGAATCTGGCGGATCCGGTCGACCGTACTTGCGCTTACAGGAGTAGAGATGCTTACACCGGAGTCTCCGTGCTTGCGGCATGAGAAAGCGACCCCGGAGCAATGTACTGCGTACCGGCCAACGACATCGAGAATTTTGGCATATTCCTCGCTTGCAGAGCGGAAAGCTCTCCGTCGAGTCGGGACGTTATAGAAGAGATCCTCGACCTTGGGCTTCGTTAACTTGAGAGCATGCCGTATCTTCTTCAGTTTAACTTACGGTGATTTGAGTTCCTCCTCGGCCAGCCGTTGCCTTGGGTGCAGCACTCTGGCCTGGCTTTGCTGGTACCAACTTGCCGTCTCCATAATGTGCTCGCCAGGCGCAGCTGGATCCAGCAGTTTTCGTTGTAACCGTCAGATGTGCGATATGACTGATACTAGCTAGAGCCTCACCGCGGAATCCGTATGTTCCAATGGAGGTCAGATCTTCAAACTCTTTGAGCTTAGATGTAGTAAACCTCTCGCAGAGGATAGGAAGATCATCTCGCTAGATATTGTCAGAGACAGCTGCTGTAACATAAGAGATGACTTACATCAATGCCATGGCCATTATCGGTAATCTGGAGTAGTTTCAGACCCCCTTCCTTAATCAGGACTTCAATTGAGGTGGAGCCAGCATCGACGGCGTTTTCGATGAGCTCCTTAAGTGCGTGCATTGGAGCAACGATAATCTCCCCAGCAGCAATTTTATTTACGACATCGGGATCCAAAGCCTATGTGGAATTTAGTATCTGTTCTATTTAATAGTATACGACAGGATTCATGTGCACGCGTCGCCTACCTTGATTTTCTTTGGTTTAGAGGGTTCCAGAGGCTCATCTTGCTCTGCTGCGCGCTTGGTACCGCGTTGATCGGTAGGCTCAATATGCGTATCGTCTTCCATCATGAGTTTCAGATATCAGGAAGGTGTTCGGGCGGAAATGGATTGCGAAGTGCGCGTAGTTAGAGAAAGGCGAAGACCCGATAAGGAGGCGATAAGAGAGCCCAGCGTCATTTGTGGAGATCGTTTGCTCCGCTGCATTCTTCCTCTTGCAATGAATATGGAACAATTCGGCCGGATTCGTCCTCTGTATCTGCTCGTTAACTCGATGTCATAAAGGAAACCACGGAGCTCGCGGAGCTTGCCCTTAATCATTCCGGGCGCAAACCATGAGCCGCGCAAAGATGCCCCTTCGGGCTGACGAAGAGATGGGCAAGAAAGATGACGACCATCGACCATCTGATCAATCACGCTTCCTACCTCTGCAGCGCCGAGCAATGCCTCGACCTCGTCGAATACTTTTCGCGATTGTTGCGCTTGGTCTCATCTACGAGTTCTTCAAGCACATGCCGACCGACCTGAGACCCGCCGTAGATCGGTACGACCCTGCAATTGCGAAGCTACGAGAAGAAAGTCTTGCCAGATGGGCTGGTACAGACAAACCGCCTCCTGTTCCCAAGCCAGGTACTGCACAACCGGGCAATGTGCCACCAGTCAAGGTGTCGGAATCGAACCGAAAGGAGGAAGCTTACGATGGGACGATCAAGTTCCCCGAGTTGGGCCACTCTCTTCCTCGCTATAAGTATTCGCAGAAATCTGCCAGCCGTGCAGTTGTGTTTGCAGCCTCAAGTCTCCACAGTGTGTCGGATCTTTTGCCCCTGGCTTGTCGGATGGCTGGTCAGCGGCTGAACTACGTGCATTTCACCCTGATGGGAAAGGAGGATGTTTCAATTGAAGGAATCAAAGAAGTTAACAGAATCAGAGATAGTGAATGCCCGATGACATGGCACGGTATGATGTTGAGATTATGATGGTCGAACGCGTTTTGCTGACTTGCCGATAACTAACAGATGCTCGGCCGGACAATGCACCCAAATCTACCGATAGCCGTATGAAGCGGTCCGTGATAGGAGGGTTGCAAAACATACAAACCTACATCAGGCCCGAGGTTATCATTACACAAGGACAGGACTGGGAGGATTCCTTTTTCTGGGACGGAGTCGAGGTCTATTCTCGAGAAAATGCCCTCCCTCATGTTGCTCTCTCTGCTGCTTCAAGAGATCTTATGTGGATAGCCTCGCTGGATAGCGAAGCTCTTCGATGTAAGTCATCTTCCCCTTCTTTGATATGTCGTGTCCGGGAATGCTGATCGTACGTACGATAGCGTGGAATCATATACAAATCGAAATAGTGGTGCATGCACCCTCCGAATCTTCTGGATCTTTGATCAGGCTTATCCAGTCATTGGATGCAGCCGACTATTTAGGATCGACCCCAAGCTTGACAATAGAGCTCCCGCAGCGGGTAGATTCGCAGTTGCTTCAATTTCTACAACATTTGGGCGGGTTGACCCAGCTTCCTGGCCGAATCACTATTCGGCGGCGCATTCAACCACGTGGCATGGGGACAGCAGAATCATCGCTTCGAACGGTGGAGTCGTTCTATCCACGGGACCCTGAGATGACACATTTGCTTTTGCTGTCTTCACAGACGGAGCTCTCACCATCCTTCTATCACTACCTGAAGTTTACTGTCCTGAACTACAAACAGTCTTCCCGAGCCAAGCGCATATTTTCCAAGATGATCGGCATTTCACTTGAACTGCCATCATCCAAACCCACGGCCAATAGCCAATCTTTCACCCCGCCGCCCATGACCGTTGAAGGCAAAGAACAGTTTCTTCCCTCGTTCCTCTGGCAGGCTCCCAATAGTAATGCAGCTTTGTATTTCGGTAATGCATGGGCGGAGTTCCATTCCTTCATGGCTAACCGCTTGTCGACTCCGGAATCCGCGGCGGCCTCCCAAACGAAGTTTATATCGGAGAAGTTTCCGGCGTTTATGGAACACATGCTCGAGATGATCCGCGCCAAAGGATATTATCTTCTATATCCATCATTCCCAGGCATAAAATCTTCCGCAATTGCCACAGTACACAATGAGCTCTACCAGCGCCCAGAAGAATTCGGGGACAGCAAACCCGCAACCTCGGATGAAGAAGGCACTTTGGTGTCTGTTGAAAGCCCGCTAAACCGCGCATCAACTATTATGCCATTGTTTGATTTGTTCTCTTCGGGTCTTCCTGATCTTGATGCTTTGCCTCTGCTTTCATACGACGGAGAGGGATTAACGGCCGCGGCATACACCAAAAAGACGGAAGAATATGCCCAGCAGTTTCGAAATTATTATGGAGGATGTGCCAGAGATAACAAAATGGATGAGCCCTCGGGAGACCTATTGTTCTGCATCCATGAATGAAATGAATTCCTGGAAAATTCTCTAGGAACTGAGCTGTCATTTCATCGGCATGTCTACCAAATTCAGGGTACATGAGAATAGTCGACTGCTCATGCGGCCTCCATGCTTGAGGGAATAAGAATCGAATAACTAATCTATGTGGCCCAAGATGATATTAGGGATGTTACATGTTAGAACACGTCGTGCTTTTGGATGTTCGTTTTTATTTGCATGCATACAAAGGCAGTAGAAAGCAAAAGCCGTGCAGATGACTCTCCTATGTATAACCGATGTAAAATTTTGAATTTAAAATACCATCAGGTCATTCTCTCCCTCATAAATCGAAGTCGTAAAGATCCGAGTCGTAGAACTGAAGTCGTCGCCAGTCCAAAACAATGACGAGCACCTTCCGCAGGGCTTGGCACCTTATGTAATCTAATTCCGGAGCTGCACCAGACCGAGCTCTGCTTCTCCATCACCAGCTTACAATCCACTTGCATTACTCTTTACTTGCGGAATTTCATCTATTTCTGCTCTGTAACACTATCTTCTGCTCATCTGCTTGATACCTACGTCACCCACGCCGCTTCGATTTCCCCCCGACTTGGTCCCCAGTTACCATCAGAAATGGCCAACGAGGGCGAACGGCCAACCTCCGCCGACAAGGGCAAGGGCAAGGTTGATGATGTTCGCGAGTTGAACGGCAAGAAGACCGAAAATGGCGAGAAGCCAGCAGACGAAAAGAAGAAAGATGAGGCATCTCAAGAAGGTACGTTACGATAAGGCATTTCCAAGGTTCTCGCAACGGGGCATGCTCTCAAGGCTCCACGGTGGCACTCAAAGCGACATGCTGACGGAAATTATCTATAGAGGAACTCAGTGAAGAGGATCAACAATTGAAGAGCGAACTTGAGATGCTCGTTGAGCGGTTAAAGGTACAGTCACTCTCCTGTCCCGTGCGCATAGCACGATGACGTTAATCCTCTTCTTTGCTCTCAATAGGAACCAGATACCTCGCTCTATGGGCCTGCTTTGGACGCAATCAAGAACTTCATCAAGACTTCTACATCCTCCATGACAGCCGTTCCTAAGCCTCTCAAGTTCCTCCGACCGCATTATGATGACCTGGCAGCGCTATACGAGACATGGGCCCCAGGCCCTGTGCTGGTTAGTTCTCCAGCACCTCCATCACTTTCCACTATCTAACGACATCTTTTGTAGAACTCGTTGGCCGACATGCTCTCGGTGCTTGGAATGACCTACGGAGATGAAGAGAAGCTGGAGACCATCAAATACCGCCTGTTGGCCAAATCGGAGGACCTCGGCTCTTGGGGTCACGAGTATATCCGACACCTCGCACTGGAGATCGGACAGGAATATCAGAACCGGTTGAACGCAGAGCAGGACACCCAGGATCTAGTGGACCTTGCATTGTCGCTGGTGCCCTATTTCCTGAGTCATAATGCTGAAGCCGATGCGGTTGATCTCATGAGCGAACTGGAAATCATCGAAGATATCCCTCAATTCGTTGACGAGAACACATATGCTCGAGTCTGCTTGTATATGGTCAGCATGGTCAATCTACTCACTTACCCTGAAGATCAGCAATTCCTTCGGACTGCCCACGCGATCTACGTCCGCTACAACAAGCTTTCTCAAGCGATCGTGCTCGCTATCCGCTTGAACGACACTGATCTTATCAAGTTTGACATCCACGCCACGACTGACAAGACTTTGAAGAAACAGATGGCCTTCCTTGTCGCCCGGCAGCAGATCTGGCTCGACCTCCCGGCCGAGGATGAGGAGGGAGAAGCCTTGGCTGATTGCCTCAACAACACTTCTATTCCGAAGCACTTCAAGTCTCTGGGCAAGGAACTCAATATTCTGGACCCGAAGATGCCGGAGGATATCTACAAGACACATCTTGAGAGCAGCCGTGGAGCCGGCCTCACCAATCTTGATTCGGCACGCCACAACTTGGCCAGCGCATTTGTCAACTCGTTTGCCAACGCTGGCTTTGGCAACGATGACATGATGCTAGTGGAGGGTGATAAGCGCCCATGGGTGTGGAAGACCAAGGATGATGGCATGCTTTCTACAACTGCGTCGCTGGGTATGCTACTACACCGTGATGTCGAGGATGGGTTGGATAAGATCGACAAGTTCACCTACGCGCAAGAAGACCAAGTTAAGGCTGGTGCACTTCTCGCTATTGGTATCCTAAACTCTGGCGTCCGACTTGACTCCGACCCCGCCCTTGCCCTCTTGAGTGATCCTGACAACCTTGAGGCGAAGAACGTGCCGATGAGAGTTGCATCCATCATGGGTCTTGGTTTGGCATATGCCGGTTCCAACAAGGAAGAACTGCTTGAGGTTCTCCTCCCGATTGTGGAGGACGCCTCACTAGACATGCAGCTGTCTGCCATGGCAGCAGTTTCACTGGGTCTCATCTTTGTTGGTTCATCAAACCACCAGGTTAGTGAGGCAATCGCGACGACCTTGATGGATGAGGAGCGTCAGAAGCAGCTCAAGGACAAGTGGACAAGGTTCATGGCCCTTGGTCTAGCACTTCTGTACTTCGGCCGCCAAGAGGAGGTTGATGTCATCCTTGACATCCTCAAGGCAGTTGACCACCCCATGGCTAGGCCCACTTCAGTCCTTGCCTCAGTATG